AAATAAAGAACTGCTTATTTATGACTACAGACCTCCAATAAAGTATAAAACAGGCCAGGGTTTAGTGGTCATACAATCCCATACAGTAATGTCGTCTAATTGATGATAATCAAAATAGTCGTTTAATTGCATTATGCCGTCAGTCAAATACGCAATACCATTCACCTAAATAGCGGTATATCAACTAAAAGAAATAAAGATGACAAAAAATAGTTCTAACTTTTTACAGTTTAAAAGTTTTTATTTTACTGCTTACCGCTTTGCCAACGACTGAGCCTACAAAACGAAATTTTGTTGAAATGCAACATTAGCAATGTTGAAGTTGATTTGGGTGTCTTTTTTAATTATTTTAAAAAATGCTTGGAGTTGTTTTTTAAAACTAAGTATTTGAAATAACTGAAAGATGCTAAATTTCTAAAAAAAAAAAAGAGAATTTTTTTTCACACCTTTTATCTTATATTTTGCTCTTTATTACAGCTGTCACTTTTGCATATCATCATTAACATCGCTAATGCTTTTGTCAGTACAACACAACAGATAAGAAATAAAGCACTTTTTTTTTTTACCAAGTCAGCCAATGCCAGAAACATATAGAGAATCATTTTTTGACGTAGCACGCGATTTGTACAGACAACAGCAATTAGAATAATATTTGTCAGAATTGCAACACTGCCAAAGGAGGAAAAACAGTAGAAGACAGCACGAAATTGCATGTCTACCTCGCCTCCAGTTGAATTCATCGACATCTCGAAACAAAAAATTTGAAAAAATAATTTTGTTTTTTTTTTTTTTTGAACAGAAGTTGATTGCTTTTAATAGCATTAAAAAGCTTAGCTCTTTTTGCACTACACAGAAATACAGTTACAAAAGAAAAACTTCAAAAAGCAACGCTCAACCACTAAAAATTATTTAAATATCTAGAGGTTTTTGAAAAAAAAAAACCATGTTTTGTTTCAATTCAAAGTGCAGAAAAATTGTACAGGAAGTAAAAAAATTTTCAAAACAGCAGTTTAGAAATTATGTTTACAAGAATCACAATTTTTTTTGTCGTTCTATTTACGTAATAAAAAGCAACATTACATTATTATTAATAAAGAATTAAAAATGCTTTGTTTTTTTCTTTTTGCGCGAACAATACAAAGATAAATTGAAATAACGAGTGCATCATTGTTTGAAAAGTTCAAATTAAAGTGTTCCGAAGATAGTGTTATTTACGTTATCAATAGCTGATACACTTTATTTTACATCAGAATTTCAAAGCTTACGTCTGTAGAAACAATTGAATAATTCAGAATTTAAATAATCTAATCTGGTAAAACAGCGTCAAACAACTAAAACTGTTAGGTTAATTTAAAAAAAAAAACAGACTTGTGACAGCCTACTGCTCTTTTGCAGGAAATCAGTTAAATTCAACAATCAATTAATACTAAGTATCAAAATATTTGCTTATTTATTGGAACTTCTGCTACATCTCTGACAACATTAAACTAGCTTTACGTAAATAGAAACCCCCCAGCTGTTTACTGCCTGTAGTTTAATTGCTGGCAGATAGTTTTGAATATCATTTCACTTTCATGTTTTGCTATGATTTTATTAAAAAGCATTTCACTGAATTGGCGTCATACAAAAAATATGTAAAAATGAGTATAATTATTAATATAAACTTAGCTAACTACAATTATTAAAATATTGCTGTTTGCAGCTAAACAATTAACAGGAAATTTAAATGCGCTTGAAATTCGACATAAAATTATGCAGGTAAATGTAAAAGAACACAAAAAAAGTATTCGTTTCAGCTTTTCAACAATACAAAAGCTTTTGCAAAACCATTGAGTAAATCAATGGCAAAAACTTCTGAAAATTGCTTATAAAAAACAGTTATAGAATAGAAATACGAAAAAACAAATTGCTATCAAAAACTAGTAAAACAGCATCATCAAATTTATCGGCGTCCAAAAAACACTTAGTTAAAACAGAAATCTTTTTGCTTTTATTCAAAGAAAGTTTTGTTGCTATTTTCTTCAAAAAAATTGAAGTTTTCTTATAAGCACAGAAAAAATGTCGTAAAATTAGCAGCACATTTTGATGTTAGGTTTCAAAGGACTAAGCTGTGGGAAAAGCATTCTTTTTAACTTTTTGATCAGTAATAGATAAGTAAGGAAAAAAGAGCTGAAAATATTCGAACATATGCAGTGTTCAAAGATGATTTTTACATTTATCCATTTTGCTATTATTGGCACGACAAAGAAATATTTTCTTGAGTTCAGCCAAAAATTAATTTATTTCACTTTAACAATAAAAGGCAATGTCAACCTTTCATATAATATGGGAAAAGTGAGACAGTTATATAAGGTTAGTAAGAACAAAATAAAGAAATACTTTGTCATTGCCATTCTCAGATTGAATAGTAGTTTAGGTATCACTTAACTGGTTTCAACTACCCATAGATATTTAACTAAAATTTTATTTTGAATTTTACCTGCTAATTATTTTTTCTTTTTTTCAATTGTTTCTGTCGAATTTATATGCCTTTTATGCCTAAATAAATAAACATATAGCAGATTATATCAAAACATAACGCTTTGAGCGTAATGGTAATCTGTTACTATACTCGCGTTCATTTCTAATTTTATGTCCAAGTTCACTGGCGGAAAAATGGCTTTGTTTTGGGAACGACTTCCGCAACTTTGGCGCAGTGCCACTGCGATGTAAAGAGGTACCTCTACGTTAAGTCAGCGGACTCCGGAAAAGTATGCAAAATTTTAGTATGACACGTGTGTATGACGTGTAACGAAGAACTTTTGTTTAAAAGTGTTTAACCTGTTTGTTTTCAAAACTTCATACTTTTTGACCTCCATTCTGCCGAGATTTTAGCAGAAATATGAGAGCGTTTTTGTTTTTGTACACATTACCTTTTAGCTCAATTACTTTGATAACTCACTTAGTTGCGAGAAAACAACTGTCAGTTTTCCTATTGTAGGATTCTACGTAGTTGAGAGTTATAGAATGTAAGAAGAAAGTATAGGGTCTGGACCACTACGAGGAAGATACGCTGTCTTGAAGTAGTATTCGGAAAAAATCTCATTTACTAAAAATTAAGGAAATATTTGAAAATAGTAATAGAAAAGTGATGAACAGTGAAAAAAAAAACAACAGATGAAAGAGAAACAGCAATACTACCAGTGTTGATTTTTTTCTGCTCGTTTTCGAAAGGAGAATGATTCTTTTTTAAACAAAAACTCGAGATTACCTTTGACATTTTTTGTCGACAGTTGCCGAAGAGGACTACCGTATCCGTCCCCTATACGGTATATGCAAAAAATCAAAAGTAGTCTCGACTTTTTGCTTGAAAAAAAAAACCATTCTCTTTCCAAAAACGTGCAAAAAAATTTACACTGGTAGTATTGCTGTCCTTCTTTCATAGCTATTTCTTTTTTTTTCACCATTAATTATTTTTCTACTACTATTTTTATATATTTTCTTACTTTCTGGTAAATAAGATTTTTTTGGACTAACGGTAAATTAAGAGTAGTAGTATATGTACTACGATTCTTAAAAACAAAGGTATGGATAAAATTATCTGATGCCTAAAAGGGAAGTACGTTGTGATATCTTTAATCTTTAAACATATGAAAGAAGATAGTTTCATAAGTGCGAAAGAGCAACAAAGTGCGGAATATCTCCTAGTTAGACTGGAACAGCAATACATATTCAATAAGCAATTCATGGTGGTAGC